GTGCGCACGAAGGCAGGGAGGGCGGTGCCGGGCCTCGTGCTCCCTTACCTTCGCCAGGAAGCCGCGGGGGCGTGGCCGCAGCCCGAGCGGGAGGCGGAGGCCCCGGAGCGGCGTGCGGAATTCCGTCGAGGACGAGGTGTGAGTCGTGCGTCCCGCTGCAAGTTGCCGTCGTTCGGACACCCTGAGGCTTAGAGAGAGGCTCAGCCTGTCACACCAGAGGTTGGAGAAGAGCTTCCATGGTCGGCTTCCACAGTGCCCTGCCGGTTCCCAAAATGGTCCGTGGATGTCCTGCACAGGGGTCTGTGCAGGGCACGTGGACTTGTGCGGTTAGAGGAGTCGGGCCGATCCTGCCATGACAGCTCAGAGACTTTGTCCAACCTAAGGGTCACAAACTTGACAGCTTGGTGGCCTTGAACTTACAATATTTTCTCCTGCCTCAGTCTCCCCAGTACTGGAAGTACAGGCACGCTCCCATCACACCCAGCTTCTTTATTTTTTTTTAATTTTTTTTATTAGTTCAAGTTAGGGAACAAGCTTGTTTCACATGTAAGTCCCTTCTCCCTCTCCCTCCCCTCACCCCGTCCCTTCTCCCCCACACCCAACCTACCCCCCACCCCATCCACCCACCACTCCCCAGGCAGGGTAGGGCCCTCAATTGGGGCTCTGCAAAGTCCATCAAATCTTCCTTTGCTGGGCCTGGGCCCTTCCCCTTGTGTCCAGGGCCAGAGTGTATCCCTTCATGTGGGATGGGCTCTCAAAGTGCCTTCTTGCACCAGGGAAAAAGACAATCCACTACCAGAGGCTCCTTGGAGGGCTGAGGCCTCCTTATTGACATCCATGTTCAGGGGTCTGGATCAGTCTTGTACTGGCCTCCCAGACAGCATCTGGGGTCGATGTGCTCTTCCTTGTTCAGGCCAACTGTTCCTGTGGGTTTCTCCAACCTGGTACAGATCCCTTCGATCTTCATTCCTTCCTCTCTTCAACTAAATTCCAGATTTCAGCTCAGTGTATATCTGTGGATGTCTGTCTCTGCTTCCTTCAGCCACTGGATGAGGGCTCTAGGATGGCATAAAGAGAAGTCATCAATCTCATTTTAGGGGAAGGGCTTTTAGGTTATCCTCTCCATCACTGCCTGGATTGTCAGATCGTGTCATCCTTGTAGGTCTCTGGAGATCTCCCTAGTTCCAGATCTCTTCTCGGACCTAAAATGGCTCCCTCTGATATGGTATCTTTCATCCTGCGCTCTCTCCTCTATTCTTCTCCCAACTCAATATTTCTGCTCCTCCATTTCCTCTCTGCTCCTCATGCTCTTATTGTGGCAGCTCCCTCTCCCCTACCCTCATGCTCCCAATTAGCTCAGGAGTTCATGCCACTTCCCATTCCTGCACACCCAGCTTTTTATTGGCTTTGGTTTTTGTGAGAGTTAAATTTTATTGTGGCCCAGGCTGATTTTGAATTCCTGATCCTTTGTGTCTGTCTCCCAAGTACTAGATGTTTTAAAGTAAAAGTGCATTGCCATATGCAAGGCCTTGAGTTCTCTCCTCAGCCCAGAATGAAAAAAAGTGAAAAGGAATTCAGAAGAGAAATATGTCATGGGTAGTTAGCATTTAACAGCGTGTATCCAGCTACTTATTTAAAGGAAAAAATAAAGGGACTCTCTCTCCACCCCACCCCACCCCACCCCCGCCCCGTCTGGCTCCCATCTCTCCTCTCTCTCCTTTCCTCTCTCCTCTCTCCTGCTGCTTCTGTCTCCAGAGGTTGGTCTCCCCCCCTCCCCTTTTCCCTTTTTATGATCCCTTTCCCTAATTAAAATAAATAAATAAATAAATAAATAAATAAATAAAGGGCCT